CTTCTGTACAAAGTCCTTTCACTTCACCCCAACCTCTCTAGCCTCCTTCTTCTCTGATTCAGAAACTACTTTTTCTCCCTCCACTCTCCCCTCTGAACCCCTGGACTCACGAGAATAAAGACGACTTTCTCTTCTCAGACCTTGAATGTAATTGCTGTCTCCAACCCTTCCAGATCGTCTTCTGTACAAAGTCCTTTCACTTCACCCCAACCTCTCTAGCCTCCTTCTTCTCTGATTCAGAAACTACTTTTTCTCCCTCCACTCTCCCCTCTGGACCCCTGGACTCACGAGAATAAAGACGACTTTCTCTTCTCAGACCTTGAATGTAATTGCTGTCTCCAACCCTTCCAGATCATCTTCTGTACAAAGTCCTTTCACTTCACCCCAACCTCTCTAGCCTCCTTCTTCTCTGATTCAGAAACTACTTTTTCTCCCTCCACTCTCCCCTCTGGACCTCTGGACTCAGGAGAGTAAAGACGACTTTCTCTTCTCAGACCTTGCATGTAACTGCTGCCTCCAAAGTGAAAGAGAAACTCCTCGGTGCTGTCTCTTACATAACCCTGAAAGGAGCTGTGCTAGTCAGCACCACCCTCCCCCTTCCACCCTGAATTTACTGGGAGAACTGAAGATCAAGATGACCTGGCCTACAGAAAACAAGAAATACTTCTTTTCCTTTTTTTTTTTTTTTCCTCTGTTGCCCTGGTTAGAGTACTGTGGCATCTTAGCTCACAGCTCCCTCAAACTCTTGGGCTCAAGTGATCCTCTTGCCTCAACCTCTCAAGTAGCAGGAAATACAGGTGCCCACCACAATGCCTGGCTATTTTTTTTAGAGACAGGGGTTTCCACTCTGACTCAGGTTGTTCTCAAACTCCTGAGCTCAGGTAATCAGCCTGCCTCGGCCTCCTAGAGTGCTAGGATTACAGGCATGTCACTGTGCACAGCCTGCTAGTGACATCTCACATGGATAATCTCTCAACTCCCACAGAAATTGGCCTCAGAGTTGCAGCTGAGCACTTGGTGCTAAGGCAGGAAGTTATTTCTGAATTTGGAACTGGCTGATCTGGAGGGTGGTCCTGAAAGGTAGTGTCTGAGGAGGTAGGCTCTGGGGACCATGCAAGTGCCTGATGAGGGGAGACGAGACAGATGGGCGAGCTCCAAAGTGAGCTTTAGGAGACTCTGTGACCCAGCAAAGAGCCACTTTATTTATTTATTTATTCATTTATTCATTTATTTTGAGATGGAATTTCAAGCTGTCGCCCTAGGTAGAGTGCCCTGGTGTCATAGCTCACAGCAAACTCCAACTGGGGCTCAAGTGATCCTCTTGCCTCCGTTTTTCTATTTTTAGTAGAGACAGAGTCTCACTTTTGCTCAGGCTGGTCTCAAACTCGTGAGCTCAGGCAATCTACCTGCCTGGGCATCAAAGAGTGCTAGGATTACAGGCATGAGCAACCGCCCGGCAAAGAGCCACTTTTGCCTGTGGCTTCCTGTTCCACTGCCCTGCCTGCTAGGCCATCGCAGGCAACCCATTCATCTGGTAACCATTTGTCAAGCCCCTGCTGTGTGCTGGGCATTGTCTTTAGAGGATCTGGGGCTGAGGCAAACCCTCTTTGCCCTCAACATTGACCCAGTCTTGCTCAGGCAGAGATCAGTATAGAAGTTCTAACACAAGTGGTTAGTGGGACATGCGCATTTGGTTTTTGGACATATACGCAAACCATCACTCTGGCCAAGGAGTCATAGAAACCCAAAAAAGAAATAATATTTCAGCTGTGTTTTGAGGTATAAGTAGGAGCCTGACAGACACTGAGGACAAGAGAACACAGCTCAGAATCCAGGACATGGATTTCTTTCCATGGGCCAGGCCAGGACTCAGACTAGGCTGATTCAGGAGCGCCTGGCAAGAAAATGCATCCCACATCTGACTATTCAGAAATCACAGCTTTTCAGTATTGAGACTTGAGTGACAGTGGGGCAGGGCTGACTTGAAAGAAAAAATTCTGGTGGAGGATTTATTAAAATGTAGAGCTTCTGGCTCGGCACCTATGGCTCAACCGGCTGAGGCGCCAGCCACGTACACCTAAGGTGGCGGGTTCGAATCCCCAGCCCGGACCCGCCAAACAACAATGACGGCTGCAACCAAAAAATAGCCGGGCGTTGTGACGGGCGCCTGTGGTCCCAGCTACTTGGGAGGCTGAGGCAGGAGACTCGCTTGAGCCCAGGAGTTGGAGGTTGCTGTGAGCTGTAATGCCAGGGCACTCTACCCAGGGGGACAGCTTGAGGCTCTGTCTCAAAAAAAAAAAAAATGTAGAGCTTCTGATTCAGTGGGGTCTGGGATAGGGCCTAAAAATTACATTGCTACAGTGTTTTTCAACTTTTTTATCTCATAGCACACTTGAACCTATAGTTGAACTTCCAAGGCACACTTAAATTATGTTGATCAAAAAAAACATTTAAAAAAAGAATACATTTGACTGAGTATGGTGGCTCATGCCTGTAATCCTAGCACTCTAAGAGGCTGAGGCAGGTGAATTGCTTGAGCTCAGAAGTCCAAGAACAGCCTGAGCAAGAGTAACACCCTGTTTCTACTAAAAATAGAAAAACTAGCCAAGTATAGTGGCCCACACCTATAGTCCCAGCTACTGGGAGGCTGAAGCAAGAGGATTGCTCAAGACCAAGACTTTGAGGTTGCTGTGAGCTATGATGATGCCATGGCACTCTACCCATGGAGACAGAGTGAGACTCTGTCTCAAAAAAAAAGGAATATATTTACTGTGCTTTGAACTTCTTTCAAAAAGAATTTAATTAATGATCTTTAAAATTTTTCACAGCACACCTAAGATCCTCTCACAGCACACCAGTGTGAGGCTGTACGACACTTGAAAATCATTGCTATAGGCTCAGCACCTGTAGCCCAAGCGGCTGGGGCACCAGCCACATACATGGGAGCTGATGGGTTTGAATCCAGCCCAGTCCCACCAAACAATAATGACAACTACAACCAAAAATTAGCCGGGCTTTGTAGCAGGCGCCTGTAGTCCCAGCTACTTGGGAGGCTGAGGCAAGAGAATCACTTAAGCCCAAGAGTTGGAAGTTGCTGTGACCTGTGATGCCACGGCACTCTACCTAGGGTGACAGTTTGAGACTCTGTCTCAAAAAGGAAAAAAAAAAGAAAATCATTGCTATAGGGCCAGGCATGGTGGCTCACTCCTGTAATCCTAGCACTCTGGGAGACCAAGGTGGGTGAATTGCCTGAGCTCAGGATTTTGAGACCAGCCTGAGCAAGAGTGAGACCTTGTCTCTAAAAATAGCCCAGTGGGTTTTTTTTTGGGGGGGGGGTGCCTGTAATCCCTGCTACTTGGGAGACTGAGTCAAGAAGATCACTTGAGCCCTAGAGTTTGAAGTTGCCGTGCGCTATGATGCCACAGCACTCTACCAAGGGTGACAACATGAGACTCTGTCTCTAAATAAATAAATAATAGCTGGAGGCATTGTGGCAGGCACCTGTAGTCCCAGCTACTTGGGAGGCTGACACAAAAGGATCAATTGAGCCCAGGATTTTGAGGTTGCTATAAGCTCTGATCCCACAGCTCCCTGATCCCCAGGGAGACAAAGTGAGACTCTGTATTAACAAAAAAAAAGGGGGGCCAGGCATGGTCATTCACACCTGTAATCCTAGCACTCTGGGAGGCTGAGGCGGGTGGATTGCCTGAGCTCACAGGTTCGAGACCAGCCTGAGCCAGAGCGAGACCTCGTCTTGAAAAATAACTGGGTATTGTGGTGGGCACCTGTAGTCCCAGCTACTTGGGAGGCTAAGGCAAGAGAATCGCTTGAGCCCAAGAGTTTGAGTTTGAGGTTGCTGTGAGCTGTGATGCCACGGCACTCTGCCAAGGGTGACAAAGTAAAACTCTGTCTCAAAAGAAGAAGAAGGAGAAGGAGAAAAAGAAAGAAAAAGGAAAATCACTGTTGGTGGTGCCCATAGCTCAGTGGGTAGGGCGCTGGCCACATCACATCACCCAGGCTGGAGGGTTCAAACCCAGCCCAGGCTAGCTAAACAGGAATGACAACTGCAACAAAAAAAAATATCTGGGCATTGTGGTGGACGCCTGTAGTCCCAGATACTTGGGAGGCTGAGGCAAGAGAATTGCTTAAGCCCAAGAGTTAGAAGTTGCTGTGAGCTATGACACCATAGCACTCTACCAAGGGAGACATAGTGGGACTCTTGTCTCAAAAAAAAAAAAGAAAAGAAAGAAAGAAAGAAAGAAAATCACTGTTGTAGACACTAGGTGGCAGGCGTGTATTAAGAAAAAGAAAATTGCATTTCTAACACAGGTGATGCTCATGCTGATTATCCCAGGACCCCACTTTGAGAACCACCATCCTAAGCCAACCTGGCTTAATTTATAATATTGGAAGAAGGCTGTGAGGCAAAAGTATGGATACCACACACAGCCCCTCCTAGGGAGCTGCCCACACCGAGAAGCTGGTATTTGATTTCCTTGGGGTCCTGGGAATGACTGATACCCAGGAAGAGTCTGAACGTGGCTCAAAGGGTAGTCTAGAGGCAGGGCTTTACAGCTCCAGGGCCTACTACACCCTCAGGTCCTTCCCGCTCTCCATACTGACCTCCAGGCCTTGCTCTGCTGTCCTCGGCTGTTTGGGCCTGTGATGTACCCAGAGGAGCTCTGACCATAGTTTCTGACCTAAAGACAGGGGGACCTAATATGACAACTATTCACAAACTAACAGGGATAACAGAATGGGCCAATGGCAAGGACCTTCAAAACTGACAACCAGCTTCAATCTTGTCTCTTGCAGGGGAATTACCAAAGTGTTTTCTCTGTCTCTGAATAACATATATATCACAATCTTTATCCCATACAGACACTAGAGGGCAGCCTGAGTGCACTGAAGCCACCTAGAATCCCTTGCAGATGGGACTTTCTCACACTAAAATTTGGCCAAAATTTCCTTCACCAAACAAAATGTACTTATTTATTAATCATGCCCTTACTTTATCTTTTAATGAAAGAAAGCCATATATGTAAAGAAAAATAATGTAATTAAAAAGAAAGCAACATAATGAATTAAAATGATGTAAACTTTCTTGTTTAAGAAATAATATAATTTTTTTTTTTTTTGGAGACAGAGTCTCACTATATTACCCTCAGCAGAGAGTGCTGTGGCATCACAGCTCACAGCAACCTCAAACTCTTGGGCTTAAGCGATTCTCTTGCCTCAGTCTCCCAAGTAGCTGGGACTACAGGCGCCCACCATAATGCCCGAATGCCCACAATGCCGGCTACTTTTTGTAGCAGTTGTCATCATTGTTAACTGGCCCAGGCTGGGTTTGAACTCGCCAGCCTCAGTGTATATGGCTGGTGCTATAACCACTGTGCTATAGGAGCCAAGCCTAATTTTTTTTTTTTTTTTTTTGGAGACAGAATCTCTCTATGGCGCCCTTGGTAGGGTGCTGTGGCATCACAGCTCACAACAACCTCAAACTCTTG